TTTCGGTACCGGTTCCGGTACCTATTTTTTGGTACCGGTACCGGCGGTACCGGTCCGGTTCCGGCGGTACCGGTTAATTTTTTTTTTTTGTTCATTTGAAATTCTTGCAAAAAGTTAAAAAAAAAGTGGGGGGCACACCTCAAACAGCTATTTAGCGGAACGAACACATGTTCCCATGTCTCAGCATGCTAGCAAGACAAGTGTTGTCCGTCCCAGTATCAACCGTAGCAGTTGAACGAGAATTCAGTGCTGGCGGCAACATTCTAACCGACTACCGAAGTTGTCTTAACGCTGAATCTCTTGAAACACTAGTTTGCAACCAAGATTGGCTCTTGGCAAGACGTCGGGCTCAAGAGTCAACGTACCAACTCGAATCGGAGCATTACATGAATGCAACCACAAATGGAAGTCCGAGTTCTGAAGAATAAGTTATAAATTTTTTTTATGTTAATGTAAATATGTAATTAATTTTTTTAGGTTAGCGATATATAAGCTCCTTCGAGGGTTTCTTTACGGTTCTTTACCTCGTCGCTTTTTTTGAACCGTCAGGATATTAAATGTGGTTGTTCTTCAGTTAGTGTATTACTCATTTTCAATATTTAAATAACAACTACATTTTTAGATTTTTTATTTCATTCTTTCCTTAAACAATTGCAAATTTACAATTTTATACTTTAAAAANCCGGAACCGGAACCGTCCCGGAACCGTACCGTGTCCACCCCTAGTTGGGTGTCCTCTCGGGACAAGAAGACGAAGCCGAGCGCAGCCAACGACTCGTTAGTCACTAACGAACCGACTTCGAAAGGCCCCCTCGGCAGAGCTTATCCACATCCTTCCTCGTTTTGAAAAGCTTTTCCTGCTTCTAGAAGATGGCGGCGTACGAGCCAAAGTCCGAGTCCGCACGGCTAGACGACTTCGCCAAACAGAAGAGTAGCAAGAAGCGGGCCAAATCGGGACGGACCCCGGTTTGTTGGCAGCGGACGAGGAACCCGGCCAAGTAGGGATGGGACTTAGGGACCACTTGGCAGGGGAGGAGGTCGAAGTGAAGAAAGAAATCGACCACAAGCTGGTTTAGGGGGAAGTAGAATCCGTACTCGAGGGACTGGAGGTGGATGGAAAAGAAGCCTGGAGGAGCATCGAAGACGGAATCCTCAGGAGTGGGACGGCGCACGGTCACGCCCAGAGCCGAGGCAAGGTGCTTCGCCTTGAGGAACTCGTCCCCCTTTAGAGTGCACTTCTGCGTACGGATTCCTGAGTCCTCCAGAGTCGTTCGCCTCTGGTGGCGGGCCTCGGACTGGGATGGGACCTCGACCGCCACTATCTCCTCGAGAGAGGGCGTGCGGGAGTCGCTCCCTTGAGCGGAATCTAGGGCGGAGCCCTGAGCGTCGCGCTCGGACACGGCCTGACGCACGATTGAGGATTGGGAAGACATTGGAAAGAGGAGTCGAGGAAGACTAACCTAGAAGGTGGGGAGCCGGAAAGAAAGCGACGGAGCGGCGGCGGGAATGTGAGCAAAACGCTACGGCAAGGGAAACTCCTACTTTCTCTCTCTAAAAGTTAGAAATGAGGAGCACTGGGCCGATATTTATAACAGGGGTGACCGAATGGGTGTAATGATGGGCTGCCACTTGGCCTAGGGAGACGAAACGTCACGCCCCTTTTGCTGGGGAAGCCAAAGCGGCGCCAACTATCAGCCGATCAATGCGCGTGGGCCCACGCGCCTTCTATGCACAGTATCCGTACTCTCGCGCGTTCCATTGCCTACTGCCAAGGAACCCGGAGAGTGGGGGGCTTATGATGGAGGATAACCCCTAGGCTGATGTCAGCTGGGCCCCTCGTCCACGTGGAGGATCGCTGTGCTCGGCCTACGAGCTCGGCTGATACCTCTTGGACTCGGCTCAGACCACGTGACAGCAACGAGAAGATAGCGACCGGCGATAGGGACCTGGCGATAGCGATAGGATGAAAGGGACAAGACGGAGAAGCTGATGACGTTTGCTAAGTGACGAACCTTTATTAGAGGGCTTTGACTACGTGTATTGTATCCCCTATAAAAGGGGTGAGAGTGTGAGACCCTTCATTGTAAAGGGGCCGAATTCTAAGTGAATACACTCCTACTTTGCATTCTCTCTCTCTAAAACTCATATTATTTAATATATTTGGTGGTTATAGCCATCAATCATCAATAAGTTTTAATCACATACGTGGTTCTTTATAATTGAAATTTATTCTCTAGATAGTCATTCGTAAATAATGTTACTCAAATGTTGATTAATTGGAGATATTTTTGTATTTCTATCATTTAAATTTAAAGTATATTCTCGAAACGGCCATTTCTGTACAACTACATGTAAAATTAAAAAATTCATTAACTATACATAATCTATGAATTATTACAAACTTATAAAAAAATCTTTTAAATTTCGAATGAAATACACATCTTTAATTTAAAAAAACTATTTTGGGAAAACACTTCATTAGAAATGATCATTTCAAGAACTAATTCTAAATTTAGGAGAAAAGTACCAAAATACCCCTCTAATTAATTATCATTTGAGTAACATTATTTACGAAGGACTATCTTGGGAATAAATTTCAATTATAGAGGACCACGTAGGTAATTTAAACTTATTGATAACTGATTTGAGAAAACACCTTATTAGAGAGGATCATTTTGAGATTTTAGTCTTTAAAAATAAAAGAAATAAAAGGGTTTCCCAAAATAAGAGTTACATTGCAAATACAATGTCAATCATGAAAGAAAAAATAGATTTTGATCGGAATTTAGATTATGTGACAAGTCAGATATTTAAAATAAAATATTGTAATATATAAAGTATAATTACAAATATAATTTTTATAATAAATATTGCATAAATAAATTGAGGTGCAACGTAACCGCATTAACTTCTTAAAATTTAACATTTTAATATTTACGCTAACTTTATATTTTAATTTTTTTTGTGAAAGTAGATTTTTGTTTATAAAAATGACAATAATTTTTTATTTTAAAGACATTGATTAAGATAACGTGATTATGAATATAATAATAGTAATAATAATAATAATAATAACAATATAAAAATTATAACAACAACAATTATAATGAGAATAATATAAAAAATAAACATAAATAAATTTTTTATAGTTTTTTAATATCTTCCAATTTTTCAAGTTCCATCTAATTTCTTTCAATTCCTTCTAATTTCTTTCAGTTTTTTCTAATTCCTTCCAGTTTTTGTAGTTTTTTCTAGTCGTTCTAGTTTCTTCCAACATTCAATTTTTTTTCTTCCTAAAGAACAAGCCCTAGATAGAAAAGGGAAAAATAATAAAACACATGAGTAATTGAATAGAATTAGAAGAAAACTATTTGAACTCTTGATGATGTGAAAGGCCAAGGGAAAAAATCCCCATAAAGAAAGAATATATATGATGTTTTAAATTGGAAATAGATAGATCATGTGACCGGTCATAAAATATAGGGATGGCAACGGGTCGGGTTCGGTTCAGATATACCCCTACCCGAAACCGACCCGAAATTTTGATCGGATATTTTTTTTTGCCTGAACCTGAACCGTCGGGTATAAATTTCTACCCGAACCCGAACCCGACTGCCTAAACCGAAACCCGAAACCGCAACCGAACCCGAGAATTTGACAAAAACCTAAGCCTAACCCTACCTGAAAACTGACCGACCCGACTGACCGACCCGACCGACTGACCATACCAATATCCTAATAAATCAGTTTTTTGTAATGATTTTTATTAAAATAATGATAAAATAATAAATGCATGTAATGATATAATTAGAATTCCAATACATAAAAACATTTGAACGTTCAAAGACATCGTAAAATTAAGATATTAAAAAAGATGTGTCCAAAATAACAACCAAAACATGGAAGCATAACAAGTTTTCACAAATACGGAGTATTTCACAAGAGAAACAACACACATAAATATAACAAGTTTTCACAAATATTTTTCATGTCTTAACTCCCGTAAGCCAAAGACTTTTAATTGAAAAAGGTTTTTTTTATATTTTAAAAAGACCTTTTATTTCGGGTTAATTATCGGGTCGGTCGGGTACGGGTCGGGTCGGTCAAATTTAATTACCGAAAACCGACCCGACAAAAGTCGGGTTCGGTTTTAAAATCTTCGGGTCGGTTTCGGATATTTATTTTTTCGGTCGGATTCGGATATTATATACATCGGTCAGGTCGGAAAAAGTCGGATTCGGATAAAATTGTCATCCCTAATAAAATATTTTACCTCCATATCCATCACATAGTGCATCTATCATCTACTTCCTCCGTCCCAAAAAGAATTTCCTACTTTGATTAATGTGCAAAACCCCATAAATTTTAAAATAATTTTATTTGCAAATTAGTAAGAAAATACTCCGTAACAAATAAAAAAATTATATTTAAAAATTACATCGAAAACTCTACAAAATAAGAGGTGTCAAGAATATTTTATTTTATAAAATAATCAATGAAAACACGCAAACAAATAAGAGTTATCGAGAGGCCGTAATAGTAAACAGGAAAGACTTTTTGGGACAGAGGGAGTATATTATTTTGGGTTTTCATTTGTTGTTACAGAACCGATGTGACGAGTATCTTTAAGTTGAGTCAAAATTACTATCTATGTTTTTTACTCTTAAAACACTCTTTAAATGTTGGGAGGAAACCTTCTTTAATTTATACTCCCTCTGTCCCAAAAAGATTTACACCTTCAAAAAAGTTGTGTCCAACAATCTCCTACCCATTTCAATTAAAAAACCACTTTTACTCCTTATTTTTTCAAATCCTACATATCACATCATACATTTTTCCTAATAATCTACACATCACATTCTACTTTTACCCATCACATCAAGGGTATTTTTGGAAAGTCAACACAAAATTATTCCTTCCTTAATTTCAACTTTAGTCAAAACGTGTAAATCTTTTTAGACGTAGGCAGTATAAAAAAAATTTAGAGTATCGTATTGGACTACACACAAAAATTGGGAAATTGTGGCTAATGATATTATCCATACATTTTTATGATTCCTGTCAAATTAAAATGATATCCATTCTCAACGGCCCACGATAAGCTTTTGCAATTGTTAGAGAATAGAGACTATGGATGTCCTGATCTACCATCCTCTCAAATCCATTTTGTTAGCTCAATGTTTTTCCAGTTAAGCAATCCTTTTTCCCTTTTGATCTCGCAATCCTTTTTCCCTTTTGTTAGAGAATAGAGACTACAGAGTATTTGTACGCGAAGACTGATGAATCTTTTAACGCACAGGAAGCAGACCCATCAAATGGAAATCAAGAATAGTGCTCCGCTGTTGCTCATCAGCTCAAGAGGCCACAATAAAAAACTTGTCTTTGCAGATTGAGGGAAGAAGGACATTAATGGGGTGTGTTTTAGCAGCTGGTAGCTCCACCAACTTACATGGCTTTCTTATCTATGCAATTTTCTTTGAATTTAATGCTAATTTTGATTACCAGAATTTCATCTTGAAATTGAACTGAAGAGAAAGTATTGAAATAAAGTACTAATAAACTCTACCCTTGGGTCTCTCATTGTTTTGGGCGAAATTTCATGGGTTTCTTTTTCTGCTTCTATTTATCTCATTATCATTGAATTCAGTGGTAATTGTGTTGATCAAAATTTCATCTTGGAATTACTTTGAAGAGAAATTCTTGAAATAAACTCTGTTTTACATTATCACTAATTATTACCGTTGGGTCTTTCATTACCTGTGAGCTTCTCTTATTGGCAGTTTTCTTTTTAGTTTAATTATTTTTAGGTTTAGGTTTCCCTAAACCGTGATAACTAAATTCGTTTCTGTAATTGTTCAGCTGCTAGCTTTTATCTGTGTGATGTGGCCAGTGCTGTTAGCACAAGTAGAAGAGCTGTAAGATTGATTCTTCTCCTTTTTCCCTGTGTTGGTGATCAGTTTCTGTTTTAAATCATTGAATTCATGTTCTTAATTAGTGTAAAACCAATTTTTTTGCTGTAGCTTCGAAGTGCGAAAATACCTGAGAGTGATTACACAACTCTTCCTAATGGCCTGAAGTTAGTTTTGAATTTTCTCTTTGAAATCGTTACATGAATTATTATTCTTTTGAGACAATTGCATGAACCTGCGTCATTTCGATTAGGCCTGATAGACTCTTTAATAAAATAAATGTCTTCAAACTAACTTCAAAGACTTTGTCAAAAATTTAAAGAGGTATGACGACACATCCCTCCAACCCCGTGTGCATACTACACACAAGTTGGGGAATTGATATATGACATAATTTGACCAAAACATCCCTTCTTTAAAGTTACAAATTAACTTATTAAAAGTTTGGGGCTGAAAATGAAAAAAGGAAAAAGGTGCTAGCAAATGTAAGAATAGGACTGTGTTAGGTTAAGGGTTGTTGGGATATAATCGCACGCGGAAACAACACACAATCACGAATCAACTGCATAAAAATTAAATGACACAAGATTTAACGTGGTTCGGTCGCCAACTGCAACCTACGTCCACACGGAGCAACTAGGAGGATTTTATTTCATTTGTTGCACACCAATTACAAGTACAATGGTCTCTTAAATCGAGATTAATTAAGGATATACAATGATTAGGCCATAAGCTTCTAGGTAGTTTCCTGCCAATTTCTTAATGACTTCCACCTAACTTCCTGGCTTCACACCCAACAATATGTGATTACTTTTTTTCTGCGTTAGATTGATGTAATACAATTTTGAGGTAAATAAATCTGTGCTTTTCGTTCAAAAGAAAAAAAGAAATTTTGTTGCAAACCAACTTTTATGTTTGACTTTTTTTTTAAGAAATCACTTTTTAATTTTTTTAAAGCCACTTTTATGTTAAGTTATGTTTTTAAAACCCACCTTTTATGTTTCTTATTAAAAAAAGACCTTTTAAAACATTTTTTTAAACCAGCTTATATATTTAATATTTTAGAGGAATCACCTTATAAAATATGTAAAATGTGGTAGAATTAAAAATAAATGTTGGTCTACAAAATCCGTTTTAGAAGGTTTCATTTATAAAAATACAGAACATAACAGGTTGTTCTTTGAAAATTAATACTCCCTCCGTACTACAAAAAGGTTCCACATTACTATTCACATGGTAAAACAATTTCATCCTTGCATATTTTCTTTGATCGTTTGGCAAATTAAATTAGGGATGTCATCTCTTGTTTCATAGAACATTTGTAGTTTTTTAAATATATAAATTTTATTTTAAAAAATTTCACCAATTTTCACTTAAATTAATTTAAAAATAACTTCAGTCAAACATCTTAAAGTGATCTAGAACCGTTTTACAAGTCAAAGGGAATATGAAAAAGTGTTTTCTTAAAAAAAGTCAGACATAAAAGGTGTTTTGGTCAAACTATGTCATTTATCAATGCCTTGCACACACTAGCATGTCACATGGTATGCACACATCGCTAGAGGGGGTGTCATGCCACTTTAAAAATTTGACAAAGCCTTTGGAGACTTTTTTTGTTACAAGGTTTATTGCGCCTATTTGAAATAACACAAGGGTGTTGGGTGCTATTTTTACACAGATTATTTCTTACCTGCATTACATTCTATGTTCGTATACATAATTTAAAGTGTGACTTGTGTTTGTTCTTTAGGTTTTATGATATAAAGATTGGTACTGGAGCAGAAGCTGTGAAGGGATCTAGAGTTGTTGTATGGGAGGCAAACTTAAATATGTGATGAGTTTTTAGGTTCATTGCCAATGAAGCTAAAAAGTCATTTTTTACAGTGTTATAATTTTGAATAAATTATGGACTAAATCAAAATGGCATATTAAATTTCCCTCCTTACTTTCAATAGAGTTTTGGGCACTAAATGTAGCAACACATTAAGGGTCTAGCTAATGGAAGGAACCTCTTTGTTTTTCCAAGGGTACGGTTGCATACATCTTGACCTTCCACATCCCAACGGAAGGGGGACTATATTGGATTTGTTGTAACCATGTGCTTTGGTTCCATGCACTAAAAGTATGTGACTATAGTTTACAAATTGAAGTTTATTATGATGAAATTGTTATAGGTCCATTATGTTGCTAAATGGAGAGGCATTACGTTCATGACAAGCAGACAAGGAATAGGTGTTGGAGGAGGAACGGTATGATTAATTTGCATCATCATCTTCATTTTACTTCATTGTTTTCTGTCTTGATGTTTAACTTGAATTTCCTATCAATCAATACTTATGATAAAACTCATTGTTTATGTCATGGTTGTGCAAAAACAGAAAATATTCTCCAAAGTTGACTTTGATCTTATGCAGTATAGTTTTCTTTATGTGAAGCCTTATGGATTTGACGTTGGTCAATCGGAGCAAGGGGTTGTCCTCAAAGGATTAGATCTCGGTGTTCAAGGCATGAGAGTGGGAGGACAGGTGAGAATAGTAACTAGGAGTTGTGTTCAAGTGTCAACCACAAGTTTAGCTTTATGGTACGTTAGAGTATAAAATCTTTAACATATAGTTGGAGTAAACATTTAGTCGGTCTATTTTGTTACACTTATACACAATTGTAATTTCATTGCTTTGTATTGATAAGCATTTGACATTAAGTGAAATAAATTATGCATTTGTACTTCTAGGACCTTCCTTCTGCATTCTCAAAGAACTCCTAAATGTTTTTTGGTACATATGATAGTGTAACATTTTTTTGTAGCGTTTGCTGATAGTTCCTCCAGAGTTAGCTTATGGAAACAAAGGGGTTCAAGAAATTCCTCCAAATGCGACAATTGAGGTGACATGTTTAATTTCTATATGAGAAGTTTTCATGACTAGCTAAGAAGATACACTTCTCACAATATCAAACACAAGGAATAATAAATTTTGAACAAAGAACACACCACAGGACTTTCGACAGCCCAAGCAAATGATATTTATTTAATTAATCATCCGTCTTAACTATAAGAGCTAGAAGTTAGTTACACCATAACATATTCAGATATTCTACTCTAGACTAGTATAGCCTTCAGAATAAAAGGCTTACATTTGATGAAGCAACAAGCCTAAGAAAAGAGCAATCACACAATCTCAAAGAATGGCAACTCTCGTATATATGCTCTTCGTTTCTGACGAGATGACATAGTATATATAGAGACAAGTCAGACAACTAAGAGAGATAACCCTAACATGGTTTCATAATATCACAACAACTAGTAAAAAGAAACAAACAAGATCTAGGGACCATGAATAAATCTCTTAATAGGAATCGCAATGCTTAGATGCCCAAACATAAATGTGTCTTCTATTGAGTCTGTTAAACAAAGTATTATGCCTTTGCCTCATCATCTTTTTAAGTTTTCAGGACATCAGTTGTCTTTTGTCAAATAACCCAGCACATAGACTAAAGTCCAAACTGATGAAGTCCTTTAGTCAATCCCCCTCGAGATTAGCGAGTCAAAACAATATTGAAAAGCAATCTAATGAACTCCAATCTATCAAGTATCAACTAGTGCAAATGTTTCCTAAAAGTCAAGTCCTTCCACTTGAGAGAGCCCGTGAACAACCAGTCTTGCTTTCTATGTTATTATGTTAGCATGCTCATCAGTTTTGTTCGGAAAGATCCATTTAGTGCCAATGATATTTGCTCCTGGTAGTGGATGAACAAGCTCTCAGACTTGAAGTGTTTGGAACTACAGCAGTTCTTCTTGCATAGCCTCAAAGGCTCAATCCATTGCTCATCCTTCGTAGCATCTTTCATGGTTTTTAGTTCCATCAAGGAGAAAAAGCAACTATTTTCTATCATATAAGCATAGTCCCATATTTCTGTTCTTCTTAGTTTGATGGAGTCTTCAATATCTCTAATAACGATGTCAATTGGATGATCTTTTCTGTTCTTTGGAGGAACTATATGTTTCATTAAAAACTTAGCATGTGAGTTCATGTCAATTTCTTCGACAGTAGAGCCCAGATCCCCCATTTTCATGGAGTTTTATCTTCCTCTTAGTTGGATGTGATTTCGTTTCCATCAACGGCTTCATCCTTGTTGGAGTGTGTGTTGAAGCCAGTTTTTTCCTCAGAAATAATATGAGAGCCATTTGTTGGAAGCATGAAAACCAATTTTACGAACAGCATCATTCATAGTTAGATTTAGTGATTCTACCACCTTCATGGTTCTTTTGTTGTACACACGATAAGCCTTTCACGATAAGATTTATTATTGTTAACTGAATATCCATGAAAAATACCTTCATCACACTATTTGCTCAAATTTCCCTATGTTGCCATTATCATTTAGAATGAACCCCGTGCTTCCAAAGACTCAGGTATTTCAGATTTGGAGACTTTCCGAATTTTGCAAGGATCCTGATTTGTTCCTGATCTAAGATACACTCTGCCTATCACATGACATGTAGTATGAACGGCTTCTGCCAAGAAATTAGCAAGAATTTTGCTGCATTTAACATCACACGTATCATTCGCTGGAGAGTTAATTCTTCATTTCTGCTATGTCGTTCTACTGTGAAGTTCTGGGGGTAGAGAATTCACGGAAGATTCTTTGATCATCACCAAAATTAGCAAATTTTGAGTTTTCAACCTCTCTTTAATGGCCACTCTTTATCATGTTGACTTTGACAACTTTGATCCTTCTCTGTATGGGTCATCCCAAAACAGCTGCTCTATGTTTTAAACACAGGGGTCATGCTGCGTACATGATTACTTGTGGTGCTTGAGCCGTGGGTCTCTTTGGAAACAGCCTCTCTACTTTCGAGACACCCTCCCCAGCCCTACTTTTTTGGGATTCGACTCGGTTGTTGCTGTTGTTGTTGTTGGAGTAGACCTTAGTTTGTCCGAACAAATCCATATGCAAGAGTTCTACAATCCTGGAAGTTGTGATATGCTTAGTCCATGATACACCTTTTTATTTCGTTTATTTGTAACACATGAATCACAAAACCTGGTTTCATCATTCTTCATCTTGGGGAATGTTCTCACTGTTCTTTGTATGACAATTTTGCACATCTCTCTTCTATTCACATGTCCTAAACATTGATGCCAAAAAGGTAATTTATCAACAATGGAGCGAGATCTAACTTCTGCCTGAAGATAATCTAAAGTAGAGTTGTCTAGAAGATAACAATGAATATTAGATCTGATTCCTCTCATTAAAGTTCTTTCTTTTTTGCTGAATCCAATGCAAGTTCCTTGGCTGAATTTAACTTTGAAGCCATCACAAAGTTGACTTATGTTTATGAAGTTGGACTTCAATCTCTTGACAATGAGAACATCAGCTAAGCAAGGAATACTTGACATTTTTTTTAATTTCCCTCGCCAATGATGTTTCCCTTTTGTCAATTAGCAAAGGTGACATAGTTTGACTCTTCGGGACACATATCAGATAGCAGGATTGCATCACCAGTCATATATCGTGAACTTCCACAATCAAAATGCCAAACTCTTTGTTGAAGATCTGTCAGTCATATTTCACATTATTTTTGGAACCCAAACAAGCACGTTTTTTTCTTCTTCTTTTGAGGTTTCTCAGCATTGGATCTCTTCTTCCACCAACACAATCTCTGGAAGTTGCCAAGGTTTTTGCAGAAGTATCTCAATCTCTTTAGATAGCTCTTTTTGCGAGTTTTTTTTTCCACCAGAGGTCCCAGCCAAACTGTGACCAGTATATGCTCATCCACAGGTATTGAACAGCCCTCTGTTGATTAATTGTTCAGAGATGTTTTGAATAGCGGGTCCGATGAACTCAATAGATTTCTCTGAAAGAGTTGGATAATTTAAACTGGGGAAGCCCCGTCCATATATCCCAGACCATGAATAGTGTGTTGTCCTTGTCCTAGGAAATCATTAAGTTTTTTTTTCTATTAAACTTCCTAATGCGAGACCAAAGATTCTCAAGCTCAATGATAAGTTTGGGAACTGCATCAT